AATTGCTTAATTGTAACTATTAAGAGTTCATAAACTGGAATAATCTGATATTTTTTAAATGGCCCAGTTATGAGGAAGAACAAGTTTCATACACGTGGGTGATTGAGACAAAGTAGGGGAAAAGAAGTCAAGGAACTTGGAGGCAAAGGTACTTGACAGGTGAAAATATAGAGTCCACTGAGGATGATTACAGGAAATATGGTAGAGAGGAAGACAGTGGACCTGATGAAGTCAACCACAAATTCAGAGGCAGTGATGGGACCACAATCAGTTCATATGAAATTCACACTGTATAAAAGGTATTAATAAAAGGGCAGAGGAGTTATGGTCTGAACATTACTGGGATGATCAGTAAAATCCTGCTCCTTCTGCAACCTTTTCATGTGAGTGAGCTTCCAGGATACAGAGGGCCTAGGGAAGAATCGGAACTCAAGTCAGAATATACGGGAGGAATTAGGTGATGATGTTGAGGATGTTAAAATTGCATTTTGAATTTTAATGTCGTAGTGGAAAAACGTGAGAAGGAGATCAGGAGGGGAAGATTGAAAGAAGAGAAAGAAAATATAAACTATGAAGATGGTCCAGTAAGGAGAATAAAAACAAAAGGCTGGTGTTTCGGCTGGTGATCAAGAAAATGGTATTCAGAAGCAAGGTAGGTTAAATTTTGCCTAGATGCTAAATAAATTGGAGGAGGGAGAGAGAGAGAAAGAGAAGCTTCATGATTTAGCTACTGCCTAGCAAGAAAGCCTGGCTCTGGCCATAAGTGTCACGTGGGAAGGGAAGCCAGTAGTGATGTAAGGTAATGGGCCAAGCACCACGATGCAACACAGCCACAGCAATGAAGTGGTAACTATAGTAGAGTTATAAAAAGCATGCTTGGCCGGGCACGGTGGCTCATACCTGTAATCCCAGCACTTGGGAGGCCGAGGCAAGCGGATAGAGGTCAGGAGTTCGAGACCAGGCTGACCAACATGGAGAAACCCTGTCTCCACAAAATATACAAAAAGTATCTGGGTGTGGTGGTATATGCCTGTAATCTCAGCTACTCAAGAAGCTAAGACAGGAGAATCCCTTGAACCCGAGAGGCGAAGATTGCAGTGAGCCGAGATCATGCCATTGCACCCTAGCCTGGGCAACAAGAGTGAAACTCTGTTTCAAAATTAGAAAAAGGATGCTCGATAAAAACTTGGTAATTGGACAGTGCTACTTGATAAGTAGGACCTCCAAGGCTTGTGGATTCATTGAATTCCCCTGACATCAAATCTGGTTCTCTATTCCACTTTTACCAGACACCAGCCAAAACAGCAAAAAACAAACGGTAATTCTAAAAGTAAAAGTTATTATTTTGCATTATATTGTAGGTATTTGTTTATAAATTTGAAAAATAAATCAGAGAGAACCACTTTTATCTTTAAAAACAGAAATTTAGAAAGAAGAGTCTGTAATTCCTCTATAGTCTTAAAGTTTACAATTTACAATGTATGACACCACACACAGCCTGACTAGATGAGCTTTAGCAGTCAAAAATAAAAAGCATATTCAATTTGTCAATTACTTACATGTTAGAATTTCATCCCCCATTCACAAATATGACCTTAGTTCTGTTTCTATGTGTCTTACAAATGGAGGCTCATCATGAAATTGGGCTTATATTTAAGAAATATAAATGGCCTAGAAAACAATATGTCTAGTTCGTCCTTCGTAAACATCAATACTCAGAATTACATATTTGCTATAATTGTATGTGTGCATGTGTGTAAGTTTTAGTGTATACCTTTGTATAATTTATGAGTTATATATTGTTATTTCTATGGATAACTTTTATTTAAAATCAGCTTCAAAAATTTAGTAGAAGAATATTTAGAAAATAATATTACTAATAAAACATCAAAAATGTTGTAGTGTATCTTCTTGAAATGTTTTCATCACACTAATATCTAAACATTCCCTAATGAAATATATAAAACCACATTTGGATTATTAAAAGATAGTTTTCATTTTACTAGGAGAAACTTTAAGGATTTTAAATTCTGTGAATAAATGAATTATTCTTCCATTAAGGTATTAAATTATATTTGCTCTCAAAAGAAATTGAACAACTCTGGATTGGGGACCATGACCCAACTGTTAAAACATATTACAACCAATTACTTAATGGACTAGAGTAAGTAGGATAATCTAGATCAAATTTTCTGGATGACAGCTTTTCATTTACAATCCTTGACTGTTCTGTTCCAATGACTAAATGCCTTGTAGTCACTACAAGTTCGTATCTGGTCAATTAAATTGTTTTAAAAAAGAATCTAATTAGAAGGATAAGTGGGGTTTACCCAGGCTAGCTAGAAAACAGAGGATTGCATAGTTCTTGGAGAAAGCTTTGCTAAAATTGGTGACCAAAAAGTATTAGCTGGATCGCATGGAGATTGTCCGTTAGATTGGAAATTCAAAGAAAGACGGATAGGTCAATCCTGAAGAAGTATATCTCATGAGTGTGGGCATGTATCACTGAAGACAGCTGGGAACATCGTTTCAAATCTTGGCCTTTTGAAATACCTAAACTTGACTTTATTCCCTACTCTGTCTCTTAGTAACTGAGTAACCTTGAAAAAATTAGGGTAGGAAAATTCTTTACATAATTACATTTAAGTTTTTTTCTCCATTGGCTTAGTTCTAACTGAATTTGCACTTTAGAAAGAGAAATATTCTGGCTGAATATCATAACTAGTTTTGCAATGCATGGGGAAATGTTTAGGAACTGAAATGTTTGGGTAAATATTTAGGAAAAACTCTTTGTGTGACCAATTTTTAAAAACGTGACAGTTATAAGGGAGACATATCTTTTCTTGACTATGTTTTTCAACTACTTTTCATATATCTTTTATGTCAGAGACATTTAAGGGTATACTCAATAAGAAAGCTGTATTTCAGTCTGACTTGAAGATGCAATGTCAGGAACTGTGTAGATGGAAATTGCCGGCAAAATGAAGTATACTTTATACCAAGTTCTAGTTTGCTTGTTTTTAGGCTCTGCTGAAACTATTGGTTTGGCCCCCAAATGGCATGATTGTTTAGGAAAGGTAAGAAGAGGTACATCTCTTTTTGCTGTGGTCTTGAAACGTGAACACTTTCTGATGTCATCTTTACAAAATGATTTCAGCATAAACAGAAGGCTGTGGTGAACATCACTAAGGTGCAGGTAGAAGAAAACTTATGTAAAGTTGGGTGGCTCAAGCATTTGATTGGCATGGGGCTCAGAGGGTGAATTAATGGGATGGGCCCCTTTTAGAAGGATGATTGGAAAACAGAGTGGAATTATGAAAGGATCACAAGCTTCATAGTTAGAGAGATCTTTTTGATCTTGGTTGCATCACTTAACCCATATCCTTATCTCTAAAACTGGAATAATTATACCCAGCAGGTTGCCCAGATTCTCTATGATTTTTATACCTTCCTACACATGGAAAAGTCTAATATTTGCTTTGCACATTGAAACAAATTGATAAGGTCAGAGGAAACTAGTTTGGGTCCCCCAACTATGCTAAATTGCGTAGCCTTCTTGAAGCAATCAATATCTCAGTGTGTTTATACCTAGAAGGACCATACAGTTTATTAAACAGACATAGACACCTGTGAAAGAGAAACTGGGACTAGAAATAATAACCAGAGGACTGACTGGGAAAACCAGGACATATGCTTAACCTAACTGTAATCCATCTGGAACAAGTAGCATACTTTTGGAGAAGCTCTAGGCTCAACCAATGCTTTTCACAGTAAGCAATCAAAATTGGTAGCTATTGTTATTTACAGAAAAAATCTAAATGTGGAGACCTGCTGTGACCCATGGGTAAATAGTTTCCTCCAAATTAGTTATTGCTAGTTCAGCATGGATGCCAACCTTTCATTCCAGGTATTCCAACTATCAGATCAAAGGGAAAAAACAACCCAACAACAGTGATCCTAGGAGTCACACATCATTATTTCTGGTGTCAAAGACTTGTGTTACTTCACTTTCAATCTTCTCTTCCCTAAGCTGCTGAGAGCTGCCCTTGAGAGAAGTCTGTGATTCAGGAACAATCTTCCCAAGGCCACCGTTTATTTTTCTCTCCTCTTAATGGTTATACGCTATTAATTCCCACTGTACCCAGCCCAGGTCTCTCCCTTGAAATCCACATTGATATTCTCAATTCTTGCTTGATACGTTCAAGCAATGTATTTGGACAACCCATCTTAAAATTCTACATAGCCAAGTGAGCTTTGTATATCTCATGCTTCACCCAAACCAGGCAACATTTTTCTAATCTGTGTTTCTAACTTGTATTAAGCCACCCAACTGCTCAACTAGGAGTAATCCTAGATTCCTCTATTTCTTACACTTTTGTTTTCAAACTCAAACCCAGACCATTGACTCTTCCTCCAAAATAGCTTTCAAGAGATTATTCTCTGTATGTTTCTACTGCCTGGATGTTTCCTATCATCATCTCTCACCTCTTTACTAAAGATAGTCCTATTTATTAGTATTTATACTACCAGTTCTAGTATCTTTTACTGCCTAGAAACTTATCATTCTAACAGGCAGGTATGATCATGTTATTTCCATGCTCAAAATCCGTCAATGACATCTGTTAATGGATAAAATCTAAAATATTTTTCATCACATAAAAAGATCCTGAGGTTCAGGTCTTTTGAGTATCAAGCTTAATTTCACTCAATTCCTTTTCACATTATACAGTATTACTGTCTCTATTATGTCACATCTTCTCAAACTTTTGAAAGAGAAATTGGGAATAGAAATAACAACCCTAGGATTTACTGAGCAAACCACAATATATACTCAACCTAACTATAAGCCATTGAGAGCAGGAATAAAACTCTTATTTTAATCACAGTCACATTGCCATGACCAGTTCTGTATTGAATTTGACAAGCTTCACTCAGGTGTATTCTGAAAATGCCTCATCTTGTCCTCAAGGTACATTTGTTGTTGTGTTTTTTTCCTCCAGGGCTTCTCTGTCATCAAAGCATGGGACACTCTGAGGAAGCCTCTCACTATCACCAGTGGGAAGCCTGAAATTTTGGGGCATTCACATGCATGGAAACACCTTTCATGTGTGGGAGATAGCTCAGAGACCGATAGCTCAGAGATGTTTTATGAACCTTCACTGCAGGTCGTGTAGTGTTGAACACTTTTCCACTGTACTAATGGCCTACTCAGCTACTCAGATTTATATATTTTCTTCCTTTTTTTTTTTAACTCCCTTTTTCCGTCATTCTTGATCCACGTGATTACTTCTCAAATAAATTACCCTTATGTAATCCTTGACTAAGGCTCAATTTTCAAAGAAATGTGAAAGACCGTAATTATTAACGAGTGTTCCTATAAAACAGATCCCTGTGATGGGATTTTAAGGCTGAATTACTTATAGAAAGGGATAAAACTTTTATCACTTGTGGAAAGTCAGTGGTGATATTCTTTGACATGCAGTAACATATAGTTATAAAGGCTGTCACATGAGGTGGATTGTGACAAGATGCAGGTAAAAGGAAGGTTGAGTTATGTAACGTAGTTATGTAGCTCAAGCATTTTATTGGCATGGGGATCTCTTAATCATAAAGATTCCTATTCATATCACAGCTCTGTCCACTAGGAGGATTTTCCTCACCATTCTCACTTAGGAATATCCTCCCTGGGTCTGTGGTATGACAGCAGTGCTTTTAAAACTATCATCAGTATTCTATGTGAATACTAAAATATTCATTAATGTGACAGTGCCCTGAATCTTTGTGGAGTTCATCTTCTACCCTCTGTCTCTGACTCAGATGTCTCTTACTTGGTATTTATATTTCTGGCTACTTAATGCTCACAGGGTCCCGATACACAGAAGGGAATGTTGTGACGCATCAGACTAATGGCAGAAGTGGACCTGGGTAGTATGAGAATTGGAAGTATTGGAAACTTCAAGTTTTCTTGCTTCACTTATGAGACACATATCATAAACCAACCAATTTTCCATATGCTTTAAGCTCAAGCATCAGTTGTCTCTTTCAGGGATCAACTTAATAATGCAATCTTGTATTGGCTTACCTTCCTTTCCTGTTTCATTTTCCCCTGTTCATCTCTTCTGCTTTCTGAAATCACTTTCTAAATAAACTATCTTCACTGTAACTTTGTTCCCGAAACTGTTTTGTAGGGAACACTCACAAAGAATCCACTTTAAATACCATTACCAAAATACTTACAGCATTTCACAAAGGGGATAACACATGGTATGGGCCCAAAAACTATTGGCATAATTAGTATTGATCTCTGTAAATGCTATGCTCTTTCTGGATGCTGGGCTCTGTCTGCATCTTTGCCCAGGATTTTCATCTGTCCCAAATGCCTCTATCCAGATATTCCCTGGATATTTCTACTGCCTGGGTGTTGCCTATCATCATCTTTATCTATTTCTTTATCTCCATCAGATATATACCTGTATAACTGCTACTCATTTATCAACTAATTTGCATCTCCACTGGGAAAATTCTCCTTAGTTCTTGTAGGAAATATAATGTAATTTGTTTACCAAAAAAAACCTTGATTTCTAGAAATATTGCAAGAGAACATTTTCTAATCATGATTTTGTGTAACTAGGTCAATATGACTGAGTTCTAGCCTGGGAAATGTAGGCAAGGTGATATAAACAATGTATAAAACCCTAGTCATAAAACTATATGCAGGAATTTCCATTCCTCCTCTAGTTATACCTATGCAAGCTGGAAGTAGAGGACTCGAAGATGACAAAACTATAACCTGGAAACAGCTGTTTACTGATTCACGACTTGGAAAACAGTTTCCTAGAAATATCACCAAACTGATTGAAAAAACTTTGCATTAAGTCACTGAGATATCAGGCTTTATTTCTACTTCGATCTAGTCTGGCATACCATAACTAACAAATCCCAGAGACAGGGAATTCCTCCATGTTCCTACTGGACTTTGGATAGAACCTACATTAAATTAATAAATATTTAACTCTAGTTGTCTCATTTTATTTCCATCAATTTTACTATAATCTCTTTGGATTTCCCAGCGCTGGTACTACATGACAAATTTACTGATCGGATAGATGGGTAGGGAAGGTTCTTCTGTAAAGCTCTAGGAGGAAAACATTTAGAAATTAGTGGGATTTACATCTTTTATTGGTCAAGTAAAAGTAAATTCCTGAAAAGTTTAATCACAGAGCAGTGGAAAAGGGCTGCTTTTGGAAGTGATGAATGATTTATAACTTGGGGGCCTAGTTGACCTGAAATTTAAAGACCAATTGTCCAAACTTTTCAACTTACTAATGAAATAATTCAGTGCAGGGAAGTCGAAGGACTTGCCCCAAAGCGTGTTAGTAATAGAACTTCCAATGAAATTGAATCTCCTGTTTCCCATACCAGTAGTTTATTACATCAAAATTTACAGAAAGGCTGACTAATCAGCATGTCCAATATGTCCCAGAAATCTGTTCAAATCCTGACAATTTACTAATTATGTGCCTTGAGAGTGATTACTTAATCTGGCTAAGGGGATCAGGGAGTTTTTCTCATTTATTAAAATGGAATTTAATATCTTCATAGGTTTTCATGAGATATGAGATAATCTACATCAACACTGAAAGTGACACAAGGTTGCGATCATTATTATATTTATTATAATTTTGCTAAGTTCAAAAATTTTTTTAATTTTATTATTTACATTTTACTGTTATGACATTAATTTTCAGCTACATTATAAGTCAGAGAGTTTAGGGAGCTAACTTGGAAATATGGATCCAGTGGCAAATTCCAGTTTAAGACCCACACAACTGAATTCTAAGTCAATTGTGTAATGCCATGTTTTCAAACTAAGAAGTTTCTGTAAAGACATTTTTATAAGTGTGGCACTAATTCATTGGAAGCAGTAAGTGGAAAAGGAATGGAAAAAGAGCTAATCTGGGAACTCAGATGGTGGTGAATGCTGGAAAGTCCCGGAATACCATTCCTCTCCTTAGATTCCTGGTTTCCATATTAATCTGGGGTAGTACTCATTTATGATTCCAATGAAAATAAGTAATTTAGTAAATATGATACTAGAGCCAGAGAAGGTCTAAGTTGACAGAATCATCATCATGAGGATTTTNTTTTTTTTTTTGCCATTGGGATTTGGCTTGGACTTAAGATTTGGATATATGATAACTTAAAAGTTTGCATCTTCAGGAAGATGCTCCTAGAGAATAGCCAGTGAGATGATTTCCCAGAACCTGGGCTCCCAGAGTTGCTCATGACCCTGGTGGGTCTCTCATTGAATACATTAAGGCAAGTGTGTGTGATGACTAAGACTCTGATACACCTAAGTAACTCATCCTGATCATGCATGTCTGTAATCTTGAGAAAGTTACTAGGTTGGTTGGTGCAAAAGTAATTATGGCTTTTGCCATTAAAAGTAAACCTTTTGAGCTTCTGTTCCTCCCATATAAAATAGGGGTAATAATCCCCTATTGAATTGTTATTACAATTAAGTGTAAATAATGTGAACAAAAATGTTATCTAGCACAGTGCCTGGCACATAGCAGGCACTCAAGAGCAATGACTTGTTCCTCTCTTTCTTTTTTCCTGAGTATTATTATTAGTAAATTCATTTAATGCCAACTTGGAATTTTTAAACACAAACACATACATTGTTTCAATCTTCTCTGTTAGGCAGGCAGTGCCTTTCATATGTACTGATACATGCTGTAGCTACCATTGACCCGTAAAGTTCTCCTTTGAGATTCACTTCTATAAAACCCAACACACACAGACAGGTGAGGAAAGGAGGAAGGGACTACTGGCCCAGGCCTGCCTATGCATATCACCTCCTCCTAGGGATGAATTTTGTGGGAAGTTAGAATAGAGCCTTGCTATTATTTGAATACGGTGTGTTTCCACTGACACTTATGTTGAGGCCTGATCCTTAATGTCGCATCTCTAGGAAGTGGTGCCTGTGAGACATGATTTGGTTGTTAAGAGGTACTAATGCCTTTCTCTCCAGACTAAGTTCTCTCTCTCTCACTTCTCCATGAGAGCTAATTGTTATAAGGCAAGCCTCCTCTTGTGTTTGGTCTCTTTCTTAGGTGTCTGCTTCCTTTTCTGCTTCTCTGCCATGTAATGATATAGCACAAGACCCTCACCAGAAGCCAATCAGATGCCAGTGCCATGCTTTTTGGACTCCCCAGCCTCTAGAGCTGTAAGAAATAAATTTCTTTATAAGTCATGCAGTCTCAGATAATCTATTATAGCAACAGAAAATGAACTAAGACAAATGTATGGAAGTGATAGATTAGTTGGGCACAGCATAAATGGCAGGGTGATTTTTAATTCCTGCTTTATGAATTCCTTTGGGAGACTGAGTAAATCATGTTTGATCTGCTCATCTATAGATTATGGATTTAACTCACTTCAAGAAGATTATATTTTTGTTCCTAATTGTTACAAATAAGTTTAACAAGTTACCCCAAAATGAAGTAGATGAAAGCTTAGCTCTTTTTTTAAAAAATAGCCTTTTTAAGATAAATTTTTGGTTCACAGAAAGATAAAGTGGAAAGTATAGAAATTTCCTGTAAAACTTCTGCCCCCACACCCCATGCATAGTCTGTCCTACTATCAAAAAGAGTGGTGCATTTGCTACAATTTATGAACATTGACACATCATCATTACCCAAAGTCCACAGTTCACACTGAGCGTTGTACATTCTGTGGGCTCAGAATAATATATGATGACAGCTACCCACTATCACAGTATCATGCAGAATAGTTCCCCTGACAAAAAATCATCTGTACACTACCCATTTAGCCCTCCCTCCCACCTAACCCCTGACAACCACTTACCTTTTTACTGTCTTTATAGTTTTGCCCTTTCCAGAGTATCAAATCGTTGGGGTACTACAGTATGTAGCCTTTTCTGATTGGCTTCCTTCACTCAGTAATATGTATTTCAGGCTCTTCCATATCTTTTAATGGCTTGCTAGCTAATTTATTTAGCACAAAATAATAATTCATTGTTTGGATATACTATAG